TTCTTCTTTTTGTTTTATGTAATTAAAATTATTAATGTATGTTAATATTATTTATTAATGTAATTAATTTAAATTATGTAAATAAATTTAAAGCAAAACATTTTTTTACAAACATTTTACAAAATATATACAAATTTTTTTTAGAATAAATTTTTTTATAAAAAATAAACATCTTTGAAATTCTATGCATTTATTAAAATCCTTGATATAAATTAGAAATCATACTTGAATTCTATGCAATTATTAATTTCATCCGATGTCATGGGAAACAAATCATCAAGAATTGTAACAAAATGATTAGAAATTTGAAAATTTAAATTTTAAATGAGACATGTTTTTACTTTTTACTTGAATTCTATGCAATTATTATTTTGTCCAATTTTATGGCAAACAATTCATTCAAGATTTTAATGTAACAAAAGGATAAGAAATTTTAATATTTAAATTTAAATTTGAAATGAGAAATGTTTTACTTGAAGTCTATTTGTCCGATTTTATTGCAAAACACTTCAATTAAGGATGGAATTAATGCAAACCGATTTTTTAGCTATAAAATAATAATGCAATTGAAAAAATGATAAAAATAGAATGCATTAATTATCTTTTGACTTTTTTTTGTTACTAAATTTAGTAAATAGGATGGCTTTTAATATATATGTATATAGATTCTTTCTAATTTTGAATTAGTTGGACACATGTATTAGTGTGTTAGTGGGTTTGTGTGTTCAGTTTTGATGGGAATGTTCTTACTGCATAGTATCCAACCTTTCTCTTGATTTTTAAACCTTACCCATTACATCCTGACATTTTTCATTCATTCTGCCCTCACTATATATCTTCATTTTCAGAACCTGAGAACCCCATTTTCATTTGTCTTTCTCCATGAATTATTCGTTTAACCATTTGTGTTCCTGCATCATTTTCTAATGTGCTTCTGAAACACTTTGGCTGATGGGAAAGGCCTGGAGAAGAGATGGACAACATATCAGCGATTAGAGATCAGTTCAAGTAACGTCTTTTGTCTTGGGTCATCTTTATTTTTCTCATTTGATGTTCTTACTCAGGGGGAGATTTGCCTTTGGCATTTCAGTCTAAAAAGGGGGAGAAATAGGATGTTTCTGAAGACGTTCGGGATTATGTTCTAGTTGTTTGCTTCTGATTACTTGTGGTTGTTGTTTTTGACACGTTTCTACAGGATGTAAGAACATGTATGTTTTGCTGTTTGATTGTTTTGTCTATTCTGACAGGGGGAGATGCATTGGTCACTCTATTTGACTTAGGTTCTGATAGCTTGACGTGTTTTGATTGCTCTGATCATAGTCCTCATAATTGTTTTGATAGGAATTGTTCATATGTTCTTACATTGCAGGTGTTTGACTAGTTTACTTCCTGATGTTCGAATATAGATAATTGCTTTGCTGTTTTGTGTTTATTTTGTAGGTTATCTTCAAGAAACACGGTTTTTGAACTGAATGCTAAAGGGGGAGATTATATGAACATTGGTTTGTGTTTGTCCCATTTTTGTTGCATTTTTTGTTGTCATTTTGCCTTTCTTTTACCCCCATATTAGGTCTTTTAGTTGTTTTTTTAGTTCGTTTTTGTAATACCCCGTTTTATTGTGGATTATTTGGGAGTAATTATTGATTATTGCTATTATTAATAAATTGTCTTTATTATTATTATTATCATTATAATTATTATTATTATAATTGCTATTAACTGTCAAATTGCTATTATTTATTTATTATTAGTAATATTGCTATTATTAATATTAATTGTCTTAAACAGTATTAATTGCCAACTTGTAACTATTTGTCTAAATGCATAATTTTGGTATTAATATTATTATTTTAAAATATTGTGTGTATTATAAATATAGATATTCCGTATTAATTTATTACTCGTCATCGATAAAATATCTCGAGAATTCTTATACCGCGTTTTATTTTAATCATCGAGTGACCGTGTCGAGCTTTGAATTTGATATTCGGACGAGTTTAAGGGAATTGATTCCAGCCCCATTTATTTTAAATGACCCAAACTCTTGCTCTAATATTGGCCCAAAATGGAGGTGATATTTGGTCAATTTATTTATCCAATTCTTGGCCCAACTTGAAGTGATTTTACCAAATCAGATTTTGCCCTTCTCTTCCCTTCCGCGCGAACAGGTAACAGATCAATCCCTTTCTCTATTCTCTTCTCCGCAAGAGACCCAGTCGCACAATTCGAAATTCAGGTGGCGATCTTGAGGGAGATGTTCGGCACGATCACGCAAAAATGGCTCCTCATCCTTTACTTAAACCGTGCAGTACCCCCAAATCTCTCATCTCCCTCAGTAACCATCGGACCTGCTACAGCAAATCGCACTTCACCATTGATTCCGGTGAATTCACCCTCCCTGTTCGAGCAATCAGTCGCCAGTGTGTTCCATAGCCGAGGTTGATTCATCCGGCGGAGTAAGGACCTGCAACCAGCCCGTCCTCCATTGACTTCGGCGAGACCACCTCCGTGCAGCTCCACCGTCACCGTCGCGTGCCTCTGTTCGCGTGAACAACCGCCGCCATCAACCTTCGTCACAGCAGGCTACCGTTGTGGGTAGAGTCGTCAGCGAGCAGCAACTTCCAATTTCCGAGCCCTGTTCGTCCGTTCGGCCCCGTTTCGCTCTGACCGTTTTTTTTAACTCGTAGATTCCCGAAGACGGGTAATCTTTTCGAACCTTTCTATTTTACTGTTTGTAGAATTATTTGCTCGTTGAATCGTTTCATATGGGTTTTGATTTCGGCTTAATTGTTGATTCGTATAATTGTTATATATATTTCGTATGATTTGTGGATGTTCGGGAATGGATGGAACTCTCGATTTCGTTAAAGAAAATTTTGTTACGTTGCTGTGACTATATCGTGTTATTTTGGAGTCCCGTTTTGTCGTTTCGGAGTCTCGTTGTAATTTTTTAGGGATTGTCTTGTTCGTTGTTTTCGAACCGTTAGGTGTCGTTTCCTATTCCGAACAAACCCCGTTTTTGAAAGGTTTTTGAACTTTAGAAGGGTCTTTATGTTGGGAAAAATTTTGTGAAATTTTGTTGTTGAACCGCAGCCTGAAAATGGTGTTTTAAATCTGCTTTTTGGCCTCTCAGTTCGCAGTTTTTATTTAGGTTCAGTAGCAGATTTGTTCAAAAATTTATGTTGCTAAGTCTGTAAGTTAAATCGCAAGAGAGATTGTAGCGCAGCGGTCTTCTGGGCGCTTCTTTGTGCGTGGTCGCGGGTTCGAAACTCCCTCCCAGCAACATTACATTTTTTCGCCCATTTTAGCTTTAGTTTGGCGCGCGGGCCACATGGCCCGAAGCCAGCCCACGCGGCCCGGTTACCTCACATCTTCCAGCCCGATTGGCCCGCGTTTTATCCAGCCCTATAGCAGGCCCTAGTGGCCCAATTCTCGTCCAATTGCGGCCCAATTGCGTGTGTGAGGGCCATATGTGAGGCAGATTTTGGCCCAACAATTGGCATCTCGGCCCAAGTGGCTTTCTCAACCTATTTTGTGTTCCGGAGCCCGTTTTAATACCGATTTAAATTTTTAAAAATATTTTTAAAATGAGAAAAATTTTGGGAAAAATTATTTTAAGTTCCGAGACCCCAATTTACTTCTCCGAGTCTTACTTTTCAAAAATGAGAGAGTTCCAAGTCCACGAAAAATCCGATTAAAACCCGTAAATCTTAATTTTTATTAAGTATGGGTTTTATGTTAGATTCGAGTAGTGAGATAAATTATTGATAAATTATCTCGCTTAAATGTAGGTGTTTGAAGAGTCGAGCCTCGTCCTACGTACTTGCTTTTGTGTGCCATTTTCTACCGAAATATCCAGGTGGGTTGTAATTGTAAAATTTACTATGCCTTAAATGTTATTACTGTTTTAATTGTGGTATGATCAAAGTATGCATGTGAATCATGTAGCCTTCGGTGTGAGCTGTATCGGCCACCGGACGGTTGTCCCCGTAGCTATAGAACGTACCTTCGGGTAGTCTCCCTTGAGAAGCCGTAAGACCAGGGCTTAGGTCCCTCGGCCGGTGATCCTCATTGGTAAGTCCAAGGCAAGACCTTGGCCGATGGGGTGGTTTACTGGTACTGGCTGGCACTCGATGTAGGACCGGAGGGCATTCCATATATAGTCAGCAGTAGTCTATGCGTAGGTGTGCACATGAGTCTGATTATTGTATTATTGATGGGAGAATGGGATAGATTATTGTTTCGTATACATGCTGAGACCATACCTTTTGATTATTGATTACTGTTGATTAATGACATTAATATTTATGGCATAGCGATGAGCACTACTGTTTCCTATTGTGCTCATCCCCACCTGCTCTTCATGGATGCAGGTTAGATAGAGCGGCACGACGGAGGGGATGCGAGTGGTGGTCTTTAATTTGAATAAATGCTTCCGCTTTGAACTGAATTTGGATATTATTGCATTATTATTGACTATTGTTTTTCTAGTATTGGATTATTGATAGGGATTATTTCTCTAGGATTATTATTGGATTATTGATTGATTATTGGGATTTTCTTATTGATTATGAGTATCGACAATTGCCGAATATTGAGAAAATTTCGAGTATTGATTATTGATTTGAAAATGAGTAGCGCCTCGAATATTGTTTTTGAAATAAATTCTAAAAATTTATTTTGATTTTCGATAAATAAAAGTGGGGCGTTACAGTTTGGTATCAGAGCCAGTCTGCGTTTCTGTAGACTGGTTTAAGTATAAAAGTTGATTATGTGATTATGTGTTTCGAATTCATGTTAAGACCACTCGCTCTCGTCGTGCCGCGCCAACTCAGGTATGAATACCTGAATAACTTTGAGATTATTGCATATTATTCGATTATTGATTATTGGAATGAAATCGGGGTTAGGACTAATCCACCTTTAAATGTGAACTCTAGTGTTGAACTCTAGACTTCTTTTATTATTGTGCTTAACTGTTCGACCCATTTTCAATGTAGAACTATGGCTCGTCGTAATGCTCGCAACCGTCAGCCTACTCCGTCTCCACCTCCGTCTCCATCCCCATCTCCACCTCACCGGCAAGCTCCCAATGCGGCTGGGGCTCATCTCAAAATCGTGCTCCAATTCCAGAGTCTAACTCCACCAGAATTTCATGGGACTGAAGGGCCCGAGGCTGTGGCCGAGTGGATCCGTCAGTTAGAGCAGAACTTTGACCTTCTGCAGTGCTCTGACGGGCAGAAGGTTATTTGTGGTCGTTATATGCTTAAGGGAAGTGCTGCCGTATGGTGGTCCGGCTATTGGAGGTTGAGACAGGCGGAGCTTAATGTCCTGACTTGGGATCGCATGAAGGAGGTGATCATGGAGAAGTTTTATCCTCAGGGTTATCGCATGAGGATGGAGCGCGCTTTCTGGGATCTTACTCAGGGGACTGGTACCGTTGAGGAGTACGAGCGGGAGTTCACCCGCATGAGCGCCTTTGCTCCACATATGGTGGACACTGATTTGAAGAAGGCCCACAAGTTCCGTGATGGTCTGAGCCACACCCTCCGTATGCATGTTGCTAGCCAGGGGAATCTTTCCTTTGATGAGACCGTTATTCGAGCCACCCAGCTTGAGAGTTATCAGACTCCCAATGTTTCTGCCCCTTCCGTTCAGCTAGTTCAGCCTATTTCCTCCGCACCGCCCGACTCTAGTTCGGGCAACAGAAAGTTTGATTCCCGCCGGGATAACCGGAAGGGAAAGCGCGGTGGGAATGACCGTCGTGGTGAGCGCCCCTTCGCACGAGACCAGTTTCTAAAGTGCCGTAACTGTGGTTGTTATCATCTGGGATAGTGCCGGTACACCCAGCGAGTTTGCTTCAACTGCATGAAGCCCGATCATCTCTTCAGTGCTTGCCCCGAGCCCCCAAGGCACCATACCCAGCAGCAGCAGCAGCAGCTTCCTCCTCCACCTTACCAGCAGCAGCAGCAGCACAGGCAGCCCCCACCACACCAGCAGAGGGCTGGGGGTCAGGCCCGAGTCTATACCCTTGCTCATGACGAGGCAGCCAACAATGCAGGTACCATGTCTGGCATGATTTCTTTATCCAATGTGCCTATCTTTGCGTTATGTGACACTGGAGCTACTCATTCCTTTATCTCCTCTCGATGCTTGGATGCCCTGTCTATTGATAATGTGTGCAACTGTGACCCTCTCGAGGTTAGTCTAGCCTCGGGAAAGATCATTATTTCCGATTCTATGATTTCCAGTCTTCCAGTCAGTGTTGGTGGGCGTGTCTTGGAGGCCGATTGTTATGTGATTGAAATGCGGGACTTCGATGTGATCTTGGGCATGGACTGGCTCACTCATTATCGAGCCGATATCCGGTGCCAGGAGCGCGAAGTAAGTCTCTTCCCCGTTCCCGATCAGCCTGTTATTTTCTATGGGGTGAAGTCGAGGACTGTGCCTCGAGTCATCTCTTCGATGCAAGCTAGGAAGAGCCTTTCTCAGGGTAGCTGTCTAGGCTATCTGGTTTCAATGGTATTCGAGGACGATTCTGAGAGGTCCCCGGAGAGAGTCTCTATCGTCTGCGAGTATCTCGATGTCTTTCCTGATGATTTGCCCGGAGGACCGCGCGACCGCCAAGTGGAGTTTACCATTGATCTAGTACCAGGAGCTGGCCCTGTTTCTAAGGCCCCTTATCGTATGGCGCCGAAGGAGCTTCAAGAGCTCAAGGCCCAGATCTAGGAGTTGCTCAATCTTGGTTTCATTCGTCCGAGTGTTTCGCCGTGGGGAGCGCCCGTCCTATTCGTGAAGAAGAAAGACAGATCGATGTGCATGTGTATTGACTATCGGGAGTTGAATGCCCTTATAGTCAAGAACAAGTATCCTCTTCCTCGCATTGAAGATCTCTTCGACCAGTTGAGAGGATCCAGTGTATTTTCTAAGATCGACTTGCGTTCTGGTTATCATCAGCTGAAGATCCGGGAGTCGAATATTTCTAAGACTGCCTTCCGTACCCGTTATGGCCACTATGAGTTCGTAGTCATGCCGTTCGGACTAAGCAATGCCCCGGCCGTTTTTATGGACCTTATGAATAGGGTCTTTCATCCCTTCCTGGACCAGTTTGTTATCGTGTTCATCGACGACATCTTGGTTTATTCTCGAAGCATCGACCAGCACAAGGAGCATCTGAGGATTGTGCTGGAGACTCTTCGCCGCGAGAAGCTGTATGCTAAGTTCTCGAAGTGCGAGTTTTGGCTGGATCGCGTGGCTTTCCTTGGCCACATTATGACAGCGAGAGGCATTGAGGTGGATCCCAGCAAGATCGAGGCAGTGAGCAAGTGGGATACGCCAAGAAGTGCCGCTGATATTCGTAGTTTCCTGGGGTTAGCAGGATACTACCGGAGGTTTATCGAGGGTTTCTCGAAGATAGCCCAGCCACTAACCAACCTTACGAAGAAGGCTGCGAGGTTCGATTGGAGTCAGAAGTGTGAGGAGAGTTTCCAGGAGTTGAAGAGGAGACCCACTACTGCGCCCGTTCTATCTATTCCTGATCCTACTTTGGAGTTCACCATCTATAGTGACGCTTCGAAGATGGGTTTGGGATGTTTCCTTATGCAGCAGGGGAGGGTCGTGGCCTATGCTTCGAGGCAGCTGAAGCCTCACGACCAGAACTACCCCACTCACGATCTTGAGTTAGCTGCAGTCGTTCATGCCTTGAAGATTTGGCGACACTACCTCTATGGAGGCAAGTGTGAGATTTTTACCGACCACAAGAGCCTAAAGTACATTTTCACTCAGAAGGAACTGAATATGCAGCAGCGTAGGTGGTTGGAACTGGTCAAGGACTACGATTGCACGATTAGCTACCATCCGGGGAAAGCTAATGTGGTAGCCGATGCCCTTAGTCGGAGGAGTTATGGCCAGTTATCCTGTCTTTTTACCGACCAAGATGTCCTTCTTCGGGAGTTCGAGCGACTACAGCTAGAGGCAGTAGAGCCGCCTTCGACAGCCAGAGGTATGTTGACCTCTTTGGTTGTGGGACCGACTCTTCGTGAGAGGATTGTCGCCGAGCAACCGAATGATCGTTTCCTTTGCCGGATGAAGGAGTTGTCGGAAGCCGACAGAGTTAGAGGATTCGCAGTCGCACCTGTTGGGGCCTTGGTCTTCGAGGGTAGACTTTGTGTTCCGAAAGTGTGGGAATTGCGAAGGGAGATTTTGAGAGAGGCCCATAGTGCCCCGTACACCGTCCATCCTGGTAGTTCGAAAATGTATCAGGACTTGAGGAAGTCTTTCTGGTGGCAAGGTATGAAGTGGCAAGTGGCAAGGTTCGTGAATGGGTGTCTGGTATGTCAGCAAGTGAAGGCTGAGCATCAAAAACCGAGAGGGAAGTTGCAGCCACTTGAGGTTCCCTTATGGAAGTGGGAGTGCATCACCATGGATTTCTTGGTGGGATTGCCGAGGTCGAGGACCGGGCATGACTCTATTTGGGTGATTGTGGATCGCCTTACGAAGTCTGCCCACTTTCTGCCGGTCTTAACGACTATGAAGGCCAGTCAGTATGCCGAGTTGTTCGTGGACGAGATTGTCAAACTTCATGGAGTTCCCGTGGATATCGTGTCTGATCGAGACGCGAAATTCACTTGTCAGTTCTGGAAGACCCTGCACCGAGCCATGGGGACGAGGCTGGAGTTCAGTACAGCTTTTCATCCTCAGACAGATGGTCAGTCTGAGCGGATGATCCAGTACTTGGAGGACATATTGAGGGATGTGGTATTGGACCGTAGCCTAACCTGGGAGAGTGCCTTGCCTTTGGTCGAGCTGACTTACAACAATAGCTACCACTCCACGATCAAGATGGTCCCATTCGAGGCTTTGTATGGACGTAAGGTCCGAACACCCTTGTACTGGGATGAGGTCGGGAAGAGGACGATCATGGGTCCGGAGTTCATTCTTAGAGCTGCGGAGACAGTTGAGGCCACCCGGAAGCATATCCGGTCAGCCCAAGAGAGGCAGAAAGTCTATGCCGACCGAAAGAGGGATGAGCACGAGTATGCCGTCGGAGATCATGTCTTCCTGAAGGTCTCGCCCATGAAGGGTGTGATTCGCTTCGGGAAGAGGGGGAAGCTTAAACCGCGTTATATTGGGCCATTTGAGATCCTTGCCCGAGTCGGGAACTTGGCTTATCGGCTGGCTTTACCACCTAGCTTGTCGGGCGTACATGACGTGTTTCACGTCTCGATGTTGCGGAGATACGTGCATGATCCCGGTCATGTGGTGGACTTCGGCGAACTGCAGGTCGAGCGAGACCTTACCTACGAGGAGGTACCGGTAGCTATTTTGGACCAGAAGGTCCATCAGTTGAGGAACCGGGCAGTGAGCTTGGTGAAGGTGCTTTGGAGCCGACATGACGAGACAGAGGAGACTTGGGAGAAGGAGGCCGAGCTTCGGAAGCGATATCCGAACTTTGAGTTCTGATTTCCTGTTGTACTTTTTTTTCATCGCTTTCTAGTTTATTTTCAAATTCCGAGGACGGAATTCTTTGTAAGGTGGATAGACTGTAATACTCCGTTTTATTGTGAATTATTTGGGAGTAATTATTGATTATTGCTATTATTATTAAATTGTCTTTATTATTATTATTATCATTATAATTATTATTATTATAATTGCTATTAACTGTCAAATTTCTATTATTTATTTATTATTAGTAATATTGCTATTATTAATATTAATTGTCTTAAATAGTATTAATTGCCAAATTGTAACTATTTGTCTAAATGCATAATTTTGGTATTAATATTATTATTTTAAAATATTGTGTGTATTATAAATATAGATATTCCGTATTAATTTATTACTCGTCATCGATAAAATATCTCGAGAATTCTTATACCGCGTTTTATTTTAATCATCGAGTGACCGTGTCGAGCTTTGAATTTTATATTCGGACGAGTCTAAGGGAATTGATTCCAGCCCCATTTATTTTAAATGGCCCAAACTCTTGCTCTAATATTGGCCCAAAATGGAGGTGATATTTGGTCCATTTATTTATCCAATTCTTGGCCCAACTTGAAGTGATTTTACCAAATCAGATTTTGCCCTTCTCTTCCCTTCCGCGCGACCAGGTAAGAGATCAATCCCTTTCTCTATTCTCTTCTCCGCAAGAGACCCAGTCGCACAATTCAAAATTCAGGTGGCGATCTTGAGGGAGATGTTCGGCACGATCACGCAAAAATCGCTCCTCATCCCTTACTTAAACCGTGCAGTACCCCCAAATCTCTCATCTCCCTCAGTAAGCATCGGACCTGCTACAGCAAATCGCACTTCACCATTGATTCCGGTGAATTCACCGTCCCTGTTCGAGCAATCAGTCGCCAGCGTGTTTTATAGCCGAGGTTGATTCATCCGGCGGAGTAAGGACCTGCAACCAGCCCGTCCTCCATTGACTCCGGTGAGACCACCTCCGCGCAGCTCCACCGTCACCGTCGCGTGCCTCTGTTCGCGTGAACAACCGCCGCCGTCAACCTTCGTCACAGCAGGCTACCGTTGTGGGTAGAGTCGTCAGCGAGCAGCAACTTCCAATTTCCGAGCCCTGTTCGTCCGTTCGGCCCCGTTTCGCTCCGACCGTTTTTTTTACTCGTAGATTCCCGAAGACGGGTAATCTTTTCGAACCTTTCTGTTTTACTGTTCGTAGAATTATTTGCTCGTTGAATCGTTTCATATGGATTTTGATTTCGGCTTAATTGTTGATTCGTATAATTGTTATATATATTTCGTATGATTCGTGGATGTTCGGGAATGAATGGAACTCTCGATTTCGTTAAAGAAAATTTTGTTACGTTGCTGT